GGGTAGGTGGGAGAGCCTTTGTAGAATTGAAAGCAGGAGTGCCTACCAGGGTGGAGCCAGTGGAAAATGTACTGGCTTTGGGTCTACCCTGCAGTTTCAGATAAGGAGCATTTGTGCTGAAAGATATCTTTGAGCACAGGGTGATGCTTTCAGATAGGAATCATCTGCGCTAGCAGGTATCCTCAAGTGTGGGAAGCTTTCATGTTAGGAATTGCCAGACAGAGATGTTTTCACCCTTTAGTAAGGGCCATTTTATCTTTAGACAACACAGTGCTGATAGGGCTATCTGGTGTGAGTCAGCTAAAACATGGCTGACACTGGATGCAGGAGGTATACAAATCAGCACAAAATGTCTGATACTACATGTCCAGAGAGGCCCCAAATCTTTAGTGATCTAATCTGCTGTGGAACTATTCCTCGCAGAAGGTCACTTTTGTGTGAATTCTGAATAAATATGGGCTTTAGATCAGAAGCCTTGGCCCAATTCTTCACCAGCCTTCACTCTCCTGAGTTTAGAACTAGTTACAGGCACGGGCTGTACACCTGGCTTTGTTGTGTGATTTTACTTTTTGAAGCAGGTTCTCAAGTGTCCCAGGCTAGCCTTGAACTGTCTATGTGGCCATGGGTGAGCTTGGATTTCTTTTGCTGTATCTCTACCTCTCAAATGTTAGGATTATGGACAAGAGTCACCACAGCACATGACGTTATTTCCTAATCCTTTTCATGTCTGCAACATCTTTATCTGATGATGATCCACAACTAGTAAAAGTTTTGAGTCTTAAGGGTGCAGAGTGGCGTTCCTGTAACACTCGAGAGGTGGGCACTTCCCTCCTGTACAACAATATGTGCAGTTTCTGGATTCCGAGCTCCTGCCACATTAAGAGTTCTAACTGGGCCGGGCGGTGATCGCGCACGCTGTTAATCCCAGCACTCCAGAGGCAGAGCCAGGCGGATCTCTGTGAGTTCCAGGCCAGCCTGGTCTACAGAGCGAGATCCAGGGCAGGCACCAAAACTACACAGAGAAATCCTGTCTAAAAAAACCTTAAAAAGTAATTAATTAATTAGTTAATTTTTAAAAAAAGAATTCTGTCATCCCGGGCACACTAGCAAGCGCATGGCAGTCTGTTGCCCATCTACCTGATTAACACCAAAACTCACCTCGTCCCAGCCCTGGGTTCTCCTCGGCCTGAAGCGGAGGAAGCAGGCTTTGAGTAATCTGCGCCTGCGTACTTACAACATCCTGTGCCTCTTCCTGGCCACGAGGCCTGACCGGATTTCCGGTGGCTGCCATTATCCTAACTGCCAGACCGGTTCCCTTTGGGCGCCGCATCTGCGTTCGGCCCCGGGTTCCCTGTGCAGTGCTCGCAGGTGGGTGGAGTGGCCCCTGGCTGCTGTGTGAGGTCGCTCGGCCACGCCTGCACCACTGTGCAGCTCAAGGCCGGCGCCTCCCTGCTCCTAAGAAAATTCTCTTTGTCGTCCCCTTTTTTTTTTCTAGGAAACCTAGCGGAGTCGGAAGCTCAATTTGTTGTCTCTCCAACCTGCGCACTCAGCAGAGGTAAGAGGAAACACTATTTCTCAATTAATTGTTTAAAAAAGCCCAACAACTTCCTTTAGCTCATTGTAACTCATTCTGTTAGATAAGTAGGTTTGAATTAACATGATTGTGCTTTTATTTCCTGACTTCAGGTTGTAGTCCCCTCCCATCCCTCCCTTTCTCCCCCCCCCCCGCCCCGCCCCGTTTTTCTTTCAGACATTACCAGTGTTCCTCCTCTTGAGCCGCTCACTTTCACTATGTAGAGGAGAAAGACTAATTGCCTCCACTTCTGCGATGCTGGAGTTACAAGTCCTAACCACGGCTGGTTTAGACAATGCTGGGATTGAACCTAGGGCTTCATGTATACCATACAACAATACCACCAGAGCAACCTCTCCAGCTCTGCAGTCCCATTTGAATAGGTTTTACCGATGGAAACCTATAGGCCCTTGTTTTTTATTAGAAAGTCTCTTCTTTGATAGTTACATTGTTTGGGGCTTTGACCCTGATTTAGAGATCCACAAAGTTCTTGTCACAGGGCCAGAGATGTGACTCCGGTCCTGGTCCCTGTGAAACTGCAGTTTCACGCCTTGGCTTTACACGGGGTTGGTTATGTGTGGAGGTCGTGACTCCAGTGTTCTCCAAAGTTTGTTAATACCTAACTAGTTGCCAGCACCAGCTTTGAAAGGTGTGATACAGGAAGATGGACACTCTGAGTGATTACCATGCCTTTGGGAATCAAGCAGGAGTCTGGCCCACAGTAAAAGAAACAGATACAAAATGTAGGCAGAGATGACAACTTGTCATAGTTTTTGATACATAGTACGATCAATCAGGTGGCTCACACAGATGCAAACAGTCATTGCTGTTGGTCAAATAAAACATTAAGGAACACATTTAGAGACCTGCCAGAAGCTTACAGAGCTGAGCTTCAAGGTGAGCTGATCCAAGCCACAGAGGCATAGGACCTTTAAGGTGAGATGGAGGACCAGCCTGGAGGTCCCTGTCAGACCTACATGCTTGGTGGCCAGATGACATCAGTGGTGCTGCCATCGTGGCAGTGTTAGTCTTTTTAAGGGGATCCAGTTGAAGGTGTTGAGGCTTTGTTGGTCTGGTATGTTCAGTATGTTTGGGATTTGTTATTTGTTTGTTTGCTTTGTTTTTGAGAAAGTTTTATTATGCCCTGTGCCCACGTGTGCCAGTGTACTTTGTTTCTTTTGAATAGTTCATCAGTTTGAGCACCTTGGTAGGTGGTATCTTTGTGTACAAAGGAGATGCCTCTGAGGTTGCACTCAAATGGAATCACTCAAGGCAAGGACATGCTGAAAGTCACTGTTTTACATGAAATGAAGTAACACAACACCATACAAGCTGATTTCCACAGGGAGGGAGGCAGGAGGACCCATAGTTAAAGGCCAGCTTCACCTACTTGGAGAATTTGAGGTCCTACCAGCTATATGAATGAGACCCTCTCACAAGCAATCCTAAACAATAACAATGATACAATAACTAAATTTAGGTTGGTTTCAAAATATACCCAGAAGCCAGGCATGGTGGCATGTGATTTTAATCCCATCTATCAATCAGAAGGCAGGAAGATCTCTGTGAGTTCAATGCCAGCTGCTCTACATAGCAAGTTCCAGGGCAGCCAGTTCTACTTAGTCTCAGTCTCAGTCTCAGTCTCAGTCTCTCGCTCTCGCTCTCGCTCTCACATATCTCTACCTCCTGAGGGCTATGATTACATATAGGCACCAGTATACCAATCTCTAAATTACACTTAATCCTTTTGGCTTTTCCCCACCCCAGATCTTATATAGCTCAGCCTGACCTGGAGCTCCTGATCTTCTGACTTTCCAAGGCAACTGTTATAAAAGAAAGCATTTAATTGGGGGTTTCCTTACAGTTTCAGAGGCTTAGTCCATTATCATCATTGCAGGGAGCATGGCAGCGTGCAGTCAGGCACTGGAGAAGCAGTTGAGAGCTACAACCTGATCCATAGGCAGAGAAAAAGACACTGGGTCTCTACCTGCAGTGACACTTCTCCAACAAGGCCACACTTCCTAATCCTTTTCCAAAGAGTGCCACTTCCTGATGACTAAGCATTCAGTTAGATAAGCCTGGGGGGGGGGGGTCGTTCTTAGTCAAACCACCACAGGTGGCACCTTAGGGGAGTCTGCAGTCAGGCTATTAGTCATTTGTTTATCTATTTTCCTCAGTGGGAAAAGCTAAGAAATGCATACAAGTTTTCAAAGATAAAGTAGGTCTTCAGTTCAGTGTGTGGGAAAAAGTTATTTGGGTGAAGGCACCTTTGTGATGGAGAATTTCAGCTCCTCCTTAAATTTTTGTTTCTAGATCTATTTTTTTATTTATGTATGTGCAGTATGTATGTGCCTGGTCCTCACATAGAAGAGAGCACCAGATCCCTTGAAATGCCATGTCATAAGAATGAGGTTACAAAACTTTAACCCATGAGGCATGAGACTATTGCTTAGTTCATTTTAACACAATATATGTCTGCCAACTGTTTGATCCATGAAGAAAATTATTAGTGAAAACCTTTTCCCAATTATCAAATCTTCTGGAATGAATTGACTGGCTCAGCAGCAGCTTTCTCCTCCCCACACTCTTTTGTTTGTTTGTTTAGACAGGGTCACATACAGCTCAGGTTGGCCTTGGGAACTGTATGTGTTCAGTTATTGGCTGGATTCTTAGTGGAGTCTTTGGTGATTAACCCCAGTTTCTGCATCAACTGCTGTGCTTACTTCACTTGCTTTTCCTTTTGAGAGCGTCTTTCATCAGTTTTTGTTTTGTTTCAAGACAGGATTTCTCGCCACCGGGCAGTGGTGGCACACGCCTTTAGTCCCAGCACTGGGGAGGCAGAAGCAGGCGGATCTCTGAGTTCGAGGCCAGCCTGGGCTACCAAGTGAGCTCCAGGAGAGGCGCAACACCTGCCTCTGCTTCCCGAGTGCTGGGAGTAAAGATGTGTGTGCCATCATGTGCCTGGCTGCCTTTTTTTTTTTTTTAATAACTAGGTGTTTTTGCCTTGTCCTTTCTCACACAGTGTGTGCCTATCTGCCTTTGTTCTTCACCATGGCTTCTCACAAGACATTCAGGATCAAGCGATTCCTGGCTAAGAAACAAAAGCAAAATCGCCCCATTCCACAATGGATCCAGATGAAAACTGGCAATAAAATCATGTACAACTCCAAGAGGAGACACTGGAGACGAACCAAACTGGGTCTATAAGGAACCACATATTGTATGCTGTTTGAAGGTCACCATTAAACTTACTGTATCAAGTTTAAAACATTACTGTTGTCTGGACAGCAGAGTGTGTTTATTGGAATATGAGGGTTTTTTTGTTTCTATGTCCTTGTAGGTTCATTCAGTAGTCCTCTAATAAATATGTGAAACATTTTGTTTGGAAGAAAAATGTTTGCTTGTGTGTTACACCTTATTTTGTTTTGAGGTTCTGGAGGTAAAACCAGAACCTCTTGCAAATAGACGAGTATTCTATTTGTGAGCACATTTCTGGCTCTTGTTTGGGGAGTTGAGACGTGTCCTCCTCGTGCGGCCTCCTGAGTGCCGCTTGGAAGACTCCAGCCAGCCTAAGTGACAAAGTTGTGAAAAGAAGCTTCTTTGTCAAGTCTCAGTTTGTTGGTCATTTCATGTGACTGCTGAAATTAGATGACCTTTTTCAACTAATAATTGCTCTCTGGTCCTTAGTGTGTCTGATTTAACAAATGATGAAAAGTGGCTGTTGCCACACTTTTATTCTCAGCACACAGGAGGCAGAGGCAGGTGGATCTCAATGAGTTCAAGGCTAGCCTGGCCTACAAAGCCAGGTCTGGGCCAGCCAGGGCTACTATGAGACTATCTTTTAAAAAAAAAAGAGACTTTAAATCCCATGGCACATTTATGACCTTCCCTTCTCTGTGTTTGCCACCACCTCGGTTTCCCTCAGTACCTTAGTGATTTCCAGTTTCCCCCAAGTGTTGCATTGGAGGCATTGGCCCACCGTGATCTAGTGTCCAGCTGCTTTTTCTTAGCCTTCTAGCACCTATGTACAGATTCTGCTACACAGTTGCAGACTGTGTGTGTATTTAAGGTTTAATGACTTAAAATTAAAGGGCGGTGGTGGCGCACGCCTTTAATCCCAGCACTCGGAAGGCAGAGGCAGGCAGATCTCTGTGAGTTCGAGGCCAGCCTGGGCTACCAAGTGAGTTCCAGGAAAGGCGCAAAGCTACACAGAGAAACCCTGTCTCGAAAAAACAAAAACAAAACAAAACAAAAGCCTCTAAAACAATTCTAACAGTTGCTATCTGTTTGATAATGTATTAGGAGCTTTTCCCAAGGAGATGTAAACAAACATCATCTCACTTCACAATGAAAGAAACACCCCCATCTACATAGTGAACCAGTTAGTTTAATTGGAGTTACTTACAGAAGCACATGTGACTTGTGGGCATCTAAACCACTAAAGAAAAGCACCTCTCCCAGCAACTGTCAACTGTCAAGATCCTTACAGTGGAGGGGGGCTTGTAACCCCCCCCACTAACTGTTAATTAACTGCCATATATCTTCAAGAAGGGGAGGGGCCTCATGAGTCCCTCTTCTCTAGCAACTGTCAACTGTATCTTGAGAAGGACTGTGGCCTTGAGAACCTGCCCCCACTTGATATAATGTTAACAGATTCACTCTTGTGTGCAGATCTGCATGGCAACAGCCATGTTATACCTGGAGGCCAGTATACAATATAGTAAAAACATCAACAATTACACTCTATTACAGAAATCCATACTGGCAAGATAGTAAATAGAGGCTTGTATTTCTGGATATACCTGGATTTATCTAGGGTAAGGGTTCAGATCAGTCTTAGCCCTTAACCTACAATAGTCATTTATAAAATGACAGTTCCCTTTACATTTAGCTGTTAGAATTCTGTCAGTATTCCCCAGAGACTTGTTAGTGAGATGGCTCAGTAAAGACATTTTAAAAGCCTGGTGACCTGAATTTGATCCCCATAACCCACTCCATAAAATCATTCTCTGACTCAGAACATGTATCATGACACGTGTCCACCTCCCACCACCACAAAAATAAAATAAAAGTTACCCACAAAAGCAGAACTAACAGGACATATTTATATAAACTATTAAATTTAGTACGTATTATGTACTCATATATGAAGAGATTTAAAAGTACTTGATTCATGGTTGTGAGGGGCTGTCAAATTTGAAATGTTGAGAGCAATCTACAGATTTAAACAAATGGATGCTGCACTTGGGAGGCAGAGGAAAGCAGATTGCTGTGAATTTGAGGCCAACCTGGTCTACACAGTGAGTTCCAGGACAGTTTGAGCTACACAGTGAGGCCCTGACTTAAAAACAAAAACAAAAACAAAAAACAAAAATGGATGCTGTGGTCTTTTGAACTTTGTATGGCAGTATAGCAACTTGTAAACTCAGCAAAATATAGAAGCAAATTACTCTGGGGAAACTGTTTCTGTTCTTAAGGCTTGAATTGGTTAGTTGAGGCTCACATTACTGATGATCATCTTCTTGAAGTCAGAAGAGATAATGTTCATAGATTGTAAATCTATATAGTACATCCATAGTAATATCTAGACACCATAATCTTGTGAACATAAAATTAACAATAATCATACTTTATTTCTACTCTATCATTTAATGTATTATTCATACAGACTATTGTAAGCTGGTAAGATGAGCGCTGGAACATAAAGTTACCATAATAATCATATATTGTCTTACTCACTGTTCTATTGCTGTGGAAAGACACAATGACCAAGACAACTCTTAAAGAAGGAAGTGCTGTACCCAAAGTCCAGAATCCCCAGAGACCAGAAAGAGACTGAATCCAAATGCAAAAGCAAAGTGTCTTTATTTGCCAGTTGGAAATCCAGTCCATCCAAAGCAGTGGTGGAGCAGGGGGCACCTGGAGCAGTAGCAGGGCAGGATATTTATCTGGTTAAGGCAGGGGCTCAGGGATTTCCAAAATCCGTATAGTTACAGGCTCAGGATTGGTGCTTACTCAGGCCAGAGGTGCTTGGCTCAAGCGGATTGGAGGGTTGCAGCTTCGAGGAAAGTGCCATGTCCTCTAGCAATTATGCCATTTCATCCGTATCAGCAGGGGACTCACATCCTCTGACGGTTATGATGTTCTTTTTTTCCCCTTTTTCTTTTTTTTAAAATGATTGATTTATTTTTATTTTATATGTGTTGGTGTTTTGCCTGCATGTCTGGTGTGAGGGTGTCAGATCCACTGGAACTGAAGTTACAGACAGTTGTGAGCTGCCATGTGGGTGCTGGGAAGGTACTCTGGAAGAGCAGCCAGTGCTCTTAGCCACTGAGCCATCCCTCCAGCCCATGACATCCCATTTTTATCAGCAGAAAACTCATATCCTCTGACGGTTATAGTATGCTATCTATATCAGCAGAAAATGTCCTGCAGGACACATCTGGGGCTTGTTTATTCTGGCGGTTATGGTATTTTATCTATATCATATCCTTTGGCAGTTTGGCAGGACATCTGGAACTTGTTTTGGACAGTTCCTGATTATCTAGGGGTACAGGAGATAGTACATCTTCTGGTGGCTTTTCCTGGAATTGTACAAGAGCCTGCTGTCTCCTGTCTGACCCTTCTCTAAGATGGCTGCAGTCCTCTCAAGGTACCCTCTGGAGCATTTAATCGGGGCCTTGTTTACAGTTTCAGAGGGTTAGTCCATGATCATCATGGCAGGAAGACAGACATGGCACTGGAGCAGTAACTGAGACCTTTACATCCTGGTCCACAGGCAGAGAGAGAACCTGGGTCTGGCATGGGCTTTTGAAAACCCAGGGACATGCTTCCTTCAATAAGGCCACACCTACTAATCCTTCTAATCTTATCAAAGAGTTCCACTCCTTCGTGACTAAGCATTCCACTATATGAGCCTATTAGGGCCATTCTTATTCAAACCACGACACTTTATTTCTGTTGTATCATTTAATGTTGAATTCATTACAGTCTGAAAGCCTGTACATGGGTGTTTCGAACTAGACTCTGGTCCTTTGGAAGGGCCATAGAACTTTTACTGAGCATCATTTATGAAGCAGATAATGGACACAGGTATGGCTGTGAGAGAACCATGGTAATAATTATATTTGTAATAGTTGGGCTGCAGCTTGGCTGTTTTACGTGTTTGCAGTTATGTTCAGCTAGTCTCTGACAAGTCTCAGCTTTTATTGCTTATTCTGGTAGGGAGGGTCTGTTTCTGGGAATTCTTGAAACGATTTTGTTTGCCTGCCTGATTGCTTCTCTATATGATGGACTCTTTCAATATCAAGGAAACTCTTCTACAACAACATGGCAGCAGGCCGTAAGAGGACATTGTTAAGGACCAGGTTTTACCAAATCTGACTCCACCTAGGATGGCAGATATTTGGGACAATGTAGAGCTCAAGTAAAAGGTAAGGGTGCTGGGACTGTAGGCAGCCTGTCCGGCAGGAACAAATGTATTTTACAGAGACACTTAAGCTGCAATCTTTGGTTGTCCCACCGTGTGAAAGAATGGAACTCAAGGAATTAGAATTACCTCAGGAATGTGCTGTGAGAGAAATGACTGAAGATCTGGGGGCTTCCAGAAGAGGAACTTGTCTCCTGAAGAAACCCAGTTGTCAGATGACCTTGTAGGAGAGGCTGGAGCTGGGACTACAATGGGCAGATACTGTTTCTGTTTAAACTCTTGAGAGACTAGGAGTTAGACAGACTCCCTAGTAGGCAGACAGATAGGGCAAGGGACCATGACTAGGTAATAAAGGTGGCAAATTTACAAGATGGTTGGGACAGGCTTCCTAAGAGTTTTCTCAGGGTAAAGGCAGTGAGAAGGAAGGGCCTGCTCAGTACTAAGCATCTGGGGGAGACAATAATAAAAATACAAGGACCCAGAATCCCCTAGGCAAACAACTTGGGGTTTCAAACCTCTCTCATCCTGACAGGAGATCATCCTTCTAGCTTTCCTATATATTGGTTTAGTGTTTCTCCAAGACAGCCAATTTCTTGCCTGTCCCACAGAACAAACTGAGCTAACAGCCACATCCCCATTATATGGCTTCATCCCCTGAAGACTGGCTTGGGCGAGTCTCAGGATCTGTCTGTTCCTCCTCCTGATGAGTTATATTCAATAAATATTTTTCTATTTTTCTATAAATATTTGGCTTCCTTAGTTGGCTTATTGAGGATGAGTGGCCAAACCTGGCTTGTTCAGCACACACAACGATCACTAAGTCCTTTATAACCAGAACATGTTTTTAAAAATACATATATTTAAATGTGAGTGTCCCTCCATGAATTTATGTGAGCCACAATTTAATGCAAGTGACCTCAGAAGCCAGAGGGTGTTGAATCCTTTGAAAATGGAATTAAAGGCTGTTGTGAGCTGCCTGATGTTGGGTGCTGGGACCCAAGCCTCTGTGTGAGGGCACATGCTCTAACCGCTGAGCTATCTCTTCTGCCCACAGGACCACTCGACATAGCAAACTTTAAGGGGCTGACATCTGAGAACTCAGTGATGAGGATACATGTTACTGTAATGCGATGTTTATTCATTTATTTTGAGATTGGTGGGCCTGGAGTTCACTCAGGTTTGCCTTTAACCCACATATATCAGCCAGCATCTGCCTCGGGCTCGCTGGGAGAAAAGCACGCAAATAACGGACTTTTCACACTATCAGGCAAGGTGCTCCTCCCCCATCTCAGGGAGCAAGGCAGCTTCGCCGCTCAAGGGTATTTTGCAAACAGCCCCTATTGGCCTTGAGACCTGTCTCCAGAGCACATCTGGTCATAGTGAGGAGAAATACTGTTCTTCCTGGTTTCTCGGCCCCTTCTCCTCAGAGGCTCCACAGAAGGCCAGCAAAGGCTCCCGGGAGCAGCAAAACCTGTTGTTTCCCTTGTGGCCACAGGCGGATCGCCATCCCGGGGTCTAACCCAGCGGGATTCTCACGATTGATCTATTACCCCTTTTCTCCGGGGCTTGTTTGGGGGAACAAAGTTTCCTTAGTAATAATTTCCGAAACACTATCCAAATCTCTGCCCACGGCGGCCCCTCCCCCTCCCCTCGGGGACGGCGCGGGGACCGGGACCCCAGAAGCTCCGGGTCAGTTTGCCTTGCCCTGGGCCGCGCTGCTCCCCGCCCACCGCCGCCGTGATTGGCTGGGCTCTCGGCCCTGCGCGCTGTCATTGGCTGGCCGCGGCCGGGGGCGGAGGGAGGGAGATTTAGTCCGGCCGCTGCCCCTCCGCGGGTCGTTTCGCCTGAGGTGGCCGCTCGCTTCTGTGTGGCGGCGGCCGGGGAGGGGCCGCGCCAGG